ATACATCAAACTACAAAACCAATAAAAAGCTAACTTAACATTACGTATCTTACATTACTTACGTAAAACCGTGTTCATGGCAATGATAGCCATAAAACGTGTACATAAAATACAAAAACATATAATATTATATGTAGTAGAATTAGCACAAATTACAAACTCAAAATTTTAAACTATAACTCGCTAAATTGGCATAATTAAAAGTGTACATTTCACGATTGAAGGTTCAACATAGGTTAGTAAACATGTTTACAAACAAATTAAATTAATCAGATGTTTTGATGAACCTGTAAATAATCATGATGCCTTGGAGCTGTAGTGACTTTACCTTAAACTTTTTGCTGTAGATTATCAAGGTAAATTAATAGAAAAGAAAGTTCTTTCACTCCCCGAATGCCTATTTTAATATCTCACAAATTTATGAACCGATTTTCAATTTTTTTCATCAAACATTTTCTTTTTTCATGCTCTTTCATTTGATATGTCACAAGGGGTACCTTGCTATTTAAAAAAATTAAGTTGGGGGTCAGGGGGGAAAGGGGGGAATGTGAATGTAGCCTTGAATTAAAAAAAATTGGGCCCTCTACGTCAATAGATGATTCCCGCAAACTGCATATTTCTATCTATTGCGGTTTTTACATAAAGAAAGATGCAAGTTAAAAAAAAACACCCTGTCTATTCATAACTATTATTTACCATTGAATAAAAAAAGGAACGATGCATTTGTTGCTTTTCTTGGGTTGGGGCCTGACAAAAATATCCTAAATTTATGTAACTATAGATAACCTTTTAGTGATACAGTATTCCCTGACACTTCTAAACAGCAAGACAATTTCATTTCTACCAGGATTAGCATATAAAGAGTTTTTGAAAGCCTACTAATGGTCTGTTTGTCTGTTGGTTAATTATGTAGTTTCATTCGTATTATTTGGTTAAACAAGGTTTTAAATTACTGTAATAACGAAAAACAAATTGAAATAACGTAAAACAAAACACGACTTCTACATAAACCGTACAGAACTAACAATAAAATTGTCTTCAGCTGTTCCATAAGGATGAGAAATCTGTTTTATCTATGGTAGTTTTCAAGACATTTCAATTATTTACTTGACGAAAGGATATTAAATATTTTACTTGTATGAGGTTCATATTAATGTCAACTATTCTATCATAATCGTAAATGAGGTTTGTTGGTTGGTTGAGTATTTGACTGGTGGTTCAGTTATTTTCAACCAATATGGACTTGTTTACTGGACAGAAGACTATTAATGTACTGAAGTATCGAGTATTATTGCAAGTTATTATATTAAATTCTCAAATTATTAATACCAATCTGGCTGATAAAATGCTACGATAAACTAAATAAGCTATGGCAACTTTACCTGCTATTTGGTTTGTCAAATAATTTGTCAAAAATATACTGCAATTTAATACACATCAAATAAAGTTTTTATTGCACACAACCATTATACGCTTTAGTAATTTTTAGTGACTAAAATGTGAAGACTACAATTATTCATGGCAACTTTTGATGAAGGGAACATGTTTAATGAGTTTAATACGTCACAACTGAAACTGGCTGGGTTGCTGAGTGGTTATTTCGCTTGCCAGGGTTGTCAGTTTTATTCTGGGGAAATTCATTGGGCTTTACATTGACTATACACAGAATATACTTCCCATGTAGTAAGACAGTTTGAAGCCAAGAAAATATACGAAGTTCAGAGTTTACTAGTGTATTGGGTTGAATCTATCTCTCTATATATTAATAGACAAGCATGCTTCTCTTTTCTCAGCTCGTGTGCATCGTAAAGAAAATCTACGCATAGTGTTAGAAATATGTTTTTCTGTAGATGTGCAGAATCCCTTTATAAATTAAAATAGGCTCAAAATAAGCACAAAAAATGAATTCGAAATTTTAAAATATTAACATGGGTCTTATGGGTTGCCATGATGGTGACGAAATAACAACAAAATATAAACATAAAATCAAAACAAATGGAAGAAATTCCAATCACATTTTTTATTTTCAGCTTGGGTAAAAAATAGGAAAGTCTGTACCTTTGACTTACTACTACTACTAGTATTACTACTACTACTTACTACTTACTACTACTACTTACTACTTACTACTACTTAGTACTACTACTAGTATATAGTCATTCCATCCCCATGTTAAAGCTTTCACCAGTTTTTAAATTAAATTCGTCGTAGTTAATGTGAGCCATCACCAGATTGCGCTGATCTAATTACTAATTTCTGTCGAATAAATGATGTTTTTTTACCAAGTCAACTTTTGGAATAACTTATTATTAGCTATAGCAACTCATTCACTTTGTCAGCAACAAAAAATAAGGTATAAATTAGAATTTTAGACATGCATTCTGTATGGCTCACAAAATTACAATGTTTTATATTAAAAAAATGACGACAGCTGGTCCATATAGATGGGATGTCTACTTCAGTATCCAATAGTCGATGCGTGTACAATACATATTTTTGGTCGAGATTTCGACCACTGGACGACCACTAGTATTTATTAAAACCAATGCAGTATCATAGCAAACAGGTGATTGATTTATCACTTAACACAGAATATTGTCATTAGTTGGTGACCACCTCAACAGATTGCACCACGTTTTTTTGGCTTCAAATTTTTACATTACATGGGAAGTCTATTCTGTGTATAGTCAATGGCTTTACTTAAATGGTCCTGGCTAGATACAGCTGATCTTAGTCAGTAGAAATCTACAAGGACTATCACTTTTTATTCTACACTCATATTAGATCAAATACGCACCTAGGTGGTGTCCCTATGCCAATGGGAAGATCATAATATACATGTTGTGAAATCATTGTTAACTTACCTTTGAATAACCATTCTGTTGTTATACTTAACTTATTCGTTTATGGCTAAGTTACTCGTCAACAAAAGAATTGTAGCGAACAACCTTGTACAAACTGGTAAAATTGCTTGGCTAAATTCATAACAATTTCAAATTCGAGTTTCAATTATTGAACGGAATCACGTTCAGCTGTGTAACGTTTAATTTATAATTTATGTAATTTACTTATAATAATACTGTATAAGGGGAACAAAAAAACATATAATAAACATAAGAAAACACGACTGTAGTCATCGGAGTGGCTATTTTGCCACATAACACTGTGGCTGTGTTTCCTACCTCGTTGTGGTGAATTCCATGTAATTTAACAACTTAAACAGTAATTTCCCTCAAGTGATTGCCACTTTGGCCATAATAATCTTATGGTGACACAATCACAATATTTCTTGTAGTTTATTATATTGAAAGATGTTTGGTGACAAAATCTTTTGGGATTGCGGAAATTAATTATGCATTTATTAATACATCCAGTATATCAGTGGATATTGTATTCTTGAGTAGGCTATTGGAGCTATGAAAAAGGGTGTTAACATGAATATTAAAACATAAACTGTATGAATCATAAACATAAACAAGGTTTGTCTCTGGCCTGATAGTAAACATGTATAGTGATGAAATATACTATATGTTCTACAAAATCAATGTTCTATCTAAACGATGATATAATTCGACTTAAAATGTAACACAAAAAATGTATGATGTCATAGATCTGCGTCACATTTAAAAAGCTCATGAGTGAAAACCACATTTGACTTCCAAAACAATGACTCAACACCTAAAACCCCAATTATGTAATTTTAGAGAAAGCAGAATAATGTATTGGATAGTCCTGTATTATAAGGCACCACTAGCGCCCCTATTAGGCCTAGTTTAGTTCTTTTGTAAAAAAAAATAAAAATAATACACAAGAAATGAACAAGAAATGAGTTCGAGGAGTGCTATATAATAAATCAATGCAGTATGGTATGTGGTTTGTTTTATTATTTTGTATTTTGAATACCTCTTCCCACAATATTTCTATGTTCATTCTCGATGCTTCAATCTAATTGGCATGTGCTGTTTTTGAGCACTATTAAGTGTATTAAATAAATTTAACTTTACTAGCGGAACTATACACAAAGTTTTAACTGTTGTAAATTATGGAACACTATAGAACTCCTTTAAAAAAAACTCGTCGGTAGTGTTATTCTAATAGTATTTAGTTCTTGATATGCAGTTTCAACCCAAAGTCAAGTAGAAATTGCTTATCAAATGTCTTAAAACTCTCAAAATAAATAAAATAAGCGATATCATCATTATATTTCTTACATGTTCAGGCAATGAGTCTTCAACCTTTTGACTGTACCCCGTGTGATATTAAATAAAATATTGTGTATACGTGCCTTATGTAGGCTACAAGGTCGACCTTCAGAGCTTCATCAAATTGGGAATAAAAAGTTTACATATTATTTCAATGTAATTATCCTATGAATAGTTCAGCTACTAGTTCATCACACTTTTCCAAACCTTTTTCCACATGCCTATCCAAAGTGGATAACGACTAACACTTAGAAACATTGACCCAGTCTAGAAAATTAAATTATAAATTGTTTATTAAGTTAACAGTACCTGGGGACCGAGCCATGGCTCGGTATAGTTTGTTGTACCCCTATATCGAATAATCTTCAGTGTAATCTTTGCTCAATAGTAACAGCTGATGTTTTTCCCTTTTTACTGTATATTGTAATTTGCTAGTATACCGTGGATAGCTTGCTATAAACACATTTTAAAAGACTTTTATTTACTTTTCCTTTCTTATTTTGTTCAACCAACATAGTTTCTTAACAAACCGTTAGGCCAATGTTAAAATTTAAAAATTTTCAAATGAGTTTAAAAACAAACCAATTTGAAAAACTGCTCTAGTACTGGTTGATTGTACATTTTATTGCACCAATGAAGAAATCTAATAATTTGCGAAACCTTATCGACACATCGCAATTATTCCTAGCAAATCCGCAACAATCAACCACGCGCATCTTGACCTTGCATCTACAATCGATTGTTGCACCAATTGTTGCACTTATACTCACTGCAGCGGACACCCGTGGACACTGTTGCTTTCACTAGGACGTAACTTGGCTCCCCCTGCTCCCTCCTTATCACTCTCTCCTCCAGTCCCGCTCAGTACAGTGAGTGAACGTGAGCTTGTCGTTCGCCGCACGTTACCATCTCTTACCACACTCGCAGCCGACACTTCCTGGTAGCGCCGAACATCATACGGTAAGTGTCTTCCTAGTTTGTACAATTTTTTTACGTTCTCCTGTGATTTATGTAATATTTTAAGAGGTCACAAGGTTTATGGACGTTTGAGATAGGCTATCACGGGATATTCATTTTGTATATGGATTTTTTGTTTTATTAAAAAAATTATCGTTAGTGAAATGGGTCGGAAATTCGACAGGTCATACAAATGCTTCTTAACCTATGTGGTATTCAATTTTACGGTAAAGTACAATACCGACCACACCGACAAATCGACTTCCAAATACGATTTTAATTAGTTGACTACATCTTCGTAACCTATAAACATAGTCCACCCTTTGGTTAGGTTAGGTTATAATTATTAGGTGTGGTCGATATAATACGTAAGAGCCAATTTTTGCCCATAACGTTTGCCATTAGTAGATTATAGTACACTGTGTATAAAAATTACATAATACAAACAAATAGAAGTAAAATGTTAGTGTTAAATTTGTGTCCTTAAGCGTTAGCCTTTTCAACTCAGCATTCAATAAATTACAATAACTTTGTATCTAATCAAGCCAGTCTGAGGTAACCAAACCCTTAAGTCTCCATTCCTTCAACAGCCTGACAAGATTAGCCTTAAAAATTTTGACTTTTTACATTTATGTTTGGGGCTTTTTAGATTTAAATGTTTGGGTAATCCAATATTTTTTACTGTCTATGAGTATAATCACACGGGGCGCGTGGGGAGTGGGGAGTGAAAGGAATCCAGTGGTAGGGGGTTGTAGGGTGGAGTGGGGACAAGACTAGAATTATTACTTTACAACCTGTATTGGTTTATGTAATTGAAAATCCACATTGCCAAACCAAGATTGGACAACTGGCGTTGGGGACATCACTCACTAATTGTGCCAAGCTACGCAATAAAAACACGGATTTTAACTTGGTGAACTTATAATAAAAAAAAAATGAAATTTATTTTCCTATTAGGTATAGTTGTTTCGTAACTCTTCCAATTTCAATAATAACTCGCAATACAATTCCAAACGTCATTAGAATGGTAATTGTTTATTTTCAATTTTCAATATTGGACCAATTGCTGTCTCAATTAATTTCACATATTTAATTTCATTTGTAATTTGGGCTCAATGTAAAATAATTTTAACTCTCTAAGAGGCAGTTAAATCTTCTCTACACTATTGGTATGCACAACACTAATAACGATTTGTTAATTTGATATAAAAAAAAAACTTTAAGAGAATAGTTAAAAGTCTTTTTTTTTAAGTAAATGATTAAATGATCATTTATTACTCTTGGCACTTCTAACCACACTTATCTAGGTAGTATCCGCGTGTTGAATCACACGGTATTTTACTTTTCCCAGAATGTCCGGAAAGTTCCCTGTTGTGCAAGACAGGAACATTGGGTGAAGATTACACACTACATACTCTGTGCCAACTGGAGTGTATCTAGGAAATTCCTTGTACCTGCGTGCGAGGCTAACATGTTGTAGACCTGTGCGAGGCTAGATGAACTGTTACGCATACCAAGGTTTCTTTCTGCAACTCAAAACCGCTGGATAGGAATCCTACACTTTTACCACTTCACGTTTAAGCTTTGAAGCATCCAACAATGAATGAACGTAGAATTTTGATTGTGCACACAAAAGATTACGACAGAATACGGTTGAAAGTCAATCATTCGCTTTCATCCATCCTTATCCTTGCTAGGAATGGCTAACTTTAGACACGATTTGACGAGACCTTGACTTGTTGTTTTGTTGGCACTCTGATTTGAAGTTAAGATCTTCGTATAAACACCAGTACTCAGTACTATAACGTCAACTCAGTATAGTATAACGTCAAACAAGAGTTATCGCTCTATTTCATCTATTTTGGAGAGAACTAATTTACTTGTAGTCTATGGCAGCCAGCAGTTCGTTTCACTTGTTGAATGAGAACTTGTCAGACTGGAGCACTATTTTCACCCAGTAGTTGTGTTTTGATAAAGGACCAGAGTAATTAATAACTCCATATAAGTTTGGAAGTTAGTCAAGTTACCGTAAGGCTTATGTTATTCTACTATTACTTTCAATTATCATTAGGACAATGACAAACCCCTAGATAAGAACTTTAAGCTGAATGTGTATGCAAGATGAGTGTAGAATAATTAGAACTGGACATTCCATCCCCATGTTAAAGTTATAGCCAGATTTGTTACCAAAACACGTCGTAGTTGATGTGAGCCACCGACAGATTGCACTAATCTAATTTTCTAAATTAATAAATTCTGTCGAATACACAAATTTGTTTACCAAGTCAAACCTAGGGAATGAGTTATGGTGAGCTAAAGCAACTTGTATGACCCATCAATCAAATAGACCAGCAACAAAAAATAAGGTATAAAATAGAACCTTTGACTTAGAACTTTAGACACTAGCGCATTCTGTGACTAGCTCATACAACTAGGTTCTTTTTAATAAAAATATTGCTACAGTCAATTGTAGAGTGGAGTGAGATGACCTGTGTGTGTAGTTTTGTAACTGAAGATCAGCTGTTTCATTTGCCAGGACTATCTAAATCTTAACGATCAGGAACAGTTGGGTCCACTCTCGTACCATCAAAAAGACACTTTAATACTTTAATACCTTTCAATGAAATGGCGACCGACTCTCAGGATAGAACCGGTGATATTTCGATTGCTCGACGAGCACTACATGTTTTACAATTGTGCGTAAGGATGAACTTATGGCTTAGTCTTATTCACATGCGAGTTTAACTTCTAAATAATAGTTAAAAATTATTTTTGCTCCACCCACTGCAAGCATTGATATATTAAGAGCACAACAAGCACACAATCATTGGAAACTAATTAGTATTAGAATGTACCGTAGAAGCTTGTTCAGGGACATTAGCATGTTTAGTCGCCATCTTGAATTGTAGAACCCTCTTACGCTGTAATAAATTGAATTTCTACTTTAAAACAGAATAAAATCCTTTTGTTTATATGGATCATTTATGGTCTTATAAGATTTGTGAAACATCAAATCATTTTGGTTTGTTTTTTTAACCTAGAATACAACAGAACCGTACAACGTCTTTCAAAAAATTAATTGTGTCTCTTTAATTAATTGACGTATTTCACAGTAATAATTTTTCTTCAAATTTCACATTTGAGTAGATGGTTTGGATTTAGTATGTTTTTAATGGAGGTATACCATTCATGTCCAATAGCTTGGTTAACAGTTGTTTATTCATCAGAAAGGATTGTAGCCACGTTTCAGAAGAACCTTGGGCACGCACACTTGTGCTATTGTTCGGCCTCCAAGTCCATCGTGTGCTAATCATACCTTATTTCCTTTTGGTTTTTACCCGTGAAACCTCACACAGTATAATTACTCCTGATGATCCCCCTTTGAACGTGCGGCCAATTAAAGGTTTACAATAATTATTTTATAGTCGTTAACCCAAGAGTGATCTCTATAAAATTAATGTTTATTTTAAATACAAATTATGTCTGATTATTGTTGAATTAATGTAATTGGAAGTAATCTGATCGCTTAGCATGATTACGAGAGTCTCGAGGTCACACCAATTACCCATCTTTTTTATTGTGGTCAATAGCAATTATTTTTAAGATTATGTGGATCATTAACCTATGTTACTTTTTTGGAGAAATATTAAACAGGGAATCTTAATTAATTGTAATTGTCAGTGAATTCCTTTTATCGGGTAATTTTAACTATTGAGTTAGGTAAATTACTTAAAATAGTCCTTGATACAGTACTTGTCTCTGCAGCTGGATAGATACTATGTTCCAATAATTAATGTTTCTTATTATAGTCCAGTTGGCAGGTAGTTTTAGATGGAAAAAGGTCGGAAGTTAATGAAACTTGGGGATGTTGTTCAGGGATGATAAATCAACCATTTCCCATGTTTTGGACCTTGTGGAAAAAAGAAGATGGTGAAAAAACTTCAAAATCTTTGACAATTCTTAGTTGGTGACAGTTCAATATCAAAACGAACATAATATGGTTGGTTTTTATCCCAGAAGAAATTAGCTTTTGAGAATTGGGGGTTTTTGTTGAATGGATGGGTGGTGTTGTGGGGTAGGGGAGATCTTGGGAGAGGGTGTATCGAGAGATGGTGCTTATAAATAAATAGGAACCATAATTACTAAAAACTTTTGTGATAATAGAAAAAGGATAATGGTGTGTGTAACAAAAAATATTAGTTTGAATTCATATATTTTTTTCATTTTTCTTTCGATTAAAAATAAAAATAAATTTAGAAAAAAATACAATTTCTCGGTAACAAATTAACCTACAACCATGTTTGAAATGTCAAATTGTAGGAAATATAATGCTCTACAAAAAGTCTTCGGTGTGTTTCTCAGTAGGAAGTAAAGGGGAAAAGCTATTTAAGGAAAATGAAAAAAAATGAAGTTTTCCCCCACCCTCTTTTTTCCACAGGGTCCACGAGGTCAAAAGCTTGTAAAATTGCTGATTTATCATCCCTGAACAATATCCCCAAGTTCCATTAACTTCAGACCTTTTTCCGTATAACCCCTCTTTTTGTACCTGCCGACTGGACTATTATAATTCTGATGGAAAATGAAAAATAAGGTTTACCATTTGCAATTTATTTATCGTCACATTAATTCGTCATCATCATCTAAATGAACACAACTAAACCTCTATAGTACATACTATTAAATCAATCCTACTTAATGTGTGCATTTCACCCGTAACATTTTCGTTATGACTTTTAATGACGGACGAATGCAGCTCACCTTATAACTTGCGGTCTGTGGATTAATATTCAGCGTAAATCAGTTTTTGCCACATTTGCCATGTTTGCCACCACACGACCGTGTGCCACATTGCCAAGGCTGTGCGGTTTACACAGACTTCCTTGTATCTGTGTAACAGGCTAAACGGCTAAACCAACAGTGATAAAATCAGCTGATTATACGACTGTGGGTGTACCTGTTAGAGACTTAGCAAGGATTACTATATGCATGTTTTAGCAGGCAAC